TCTTCAAAATTGCTTTCTCCGCTTTCTTTCTTTTTTGGCACAAGGGGGGCAAAATATTCCTTTGCCCCCTAATCTATTTCCTCTCCACCCAACCCGAGCAAATCATCTGCTGTTGCTGCCTATTTCAACGAATTTTTCTTTTGTTCTTAATTGTTTATTACACCTAGTACAACACAACACTTATCGAATTATTGAATAACGCAATCGTCAAAATCAACTGATATTCCTCCAAACGGAGTACTTATCCCCGTTTTTTTACCAAGACTAAAACCAACACCGGCTACTTTAGCCTCTATACCGTCAACTCCTGCTGTCACTCCGCTACCAACATCAATGCCAATGTTCGCCCTAACTGCACCTACTCGGGCATTAGCCACATCCACATTTGCCGAATATCTAGCGGTATAGCCACCTACACCCATTCCAGCTTCGCCTCCAACCGAAACACTACCAATTCTAATATCTGAACTATCGTTATCACTAATCCTAAACGCTGAATAGCCAATATCTCCGCTAGCTATCATTCCACCAAGCCCCACACTTCTTTTTGCTGAAGTTGTAAAATTATGAACCTTCAAATCCTCATTTTGGCAAACCGACTCATCCTCGTCTCATCAATCGTGTTTGTTAAAAGTTTTAACTCCATTTAAAGTATTAATCAAATGCTCTTCACCAATCTCAACCTTCCTTTTATTCTTACTTTCACCCGCACAATGAACATTAGAAAGAAAAGTTTTTGCTAATCAATTACTTTGATAATTATCTTGCTCTTTTAATTCATAAACTATCTCAATCGGCTTCTTATTTACCTCTATAGGTATTCCATTATTGTTATTTACCATATAATTTTAATATTTATTGATTTTCTTTATTTTTGCTAATTTTAACCGCATTAGCGGCTGTTCTTTTTAATTCTTATTCCATTTTTAAAAATAATTTCTCCTATTCCTTACGCCATTATGGCGTTATATAGTCCTCTTTTCAGATAGAGGCAATTATATTCTTGAGAGAATTGATATGTTTGTTTGTCATGGTTTTTTTGTTTCATATGTCTTTAATTTAATTTTTTAGAGGACAACTCGCCCTCAAATATATTTTAGCAACTTTAGTAGTCAAGAACCTCAATTGTGATTTTAATTGTTTTATTACTTGCTTTGTTTTTCTTTGCTATATCTTATAATAAATTATAATTTTTAATCAACTAAGTTATCAAAAAGTGCAATTTTCTTTCTTTAGCCAGTTTTTGGAGTTCCTGGAAAGTTTTCGATCTTAATTGACGGGTCGTATTCTCTGACTTGCCGAGAATTCTACTTATTTCGATAAATTTGTAATTTTTGGTGAATAACGACAAATATTTTTTCACTACTGGCAAATTGCGGATTGTTGGCCCTTCTAAGGGGCGCTTTTTTAATTGTTCCAAATTAAACTTTTTACTCAATTTCAGATTTTCTTGTAGTTCCTTTTTTTCTTTTTCGTCAGCCAGGTAATAAATATCCACTAAACTAGAAGGCTTAATCTTATAGAGAAGACGATTTAACAAAATTGCTTCCCGATTGCCTAAGGTATTAATTAGATTGTTGGTCTGAATTAGCACATCCTGGCGCCGCAATTCTTCAGCCGTTAATTCGTTATTTTGCTCGTCATGTAAAGTTTCTTGCAAAGAATAAGATTTACTTTCTTGGTCATCATTTTGATAACCGCTGTCGTAATAAACTACATTTTTTTTGTCTTTAACTCCTCCTTGATTAATAAATTGTTCTTTGTTGATACAACTTTGAATATATTGTCTAACCCAACAGCCGGCATAAGTGGCAAAACGAAATTTAGTGTTAAGATCAAATTTTTCCATGGCCTTGAGAAG